CGTATGTTTGAATCGGAAAAAATTTATATATTTTACAATACTGTTTAAAACTTGTATGATCCTATAAAGTTGATATAAAATTATCCTGGGATATTCATACGAAAACACTGATCAATATATCAGGTTTTGGTGCAAAGACACACATCTATCCTGATATAATTTTATTTTATTTTATTGGAACCATTCAACAGGGTTGTTTTCAAATAAATCAAAGTTCAGCATAGCATCTAATATCACATTTGATTCAACCACTGGTTTGGGGCCTCTTTTTTTCTGCATGATTGTACGTCAAACAAATTAATAATTCTCTACCACATAAATTCTGGAGTTGTACTATTTTTGAAAGTCATTCGGTGAGTTTGGGCACAATAAACGAGGCAAAAATCGCAAAATTTAACTATCCGCTCATTGGATAATCTGTATTCTTGGAACTAGTTATAAGTTTTTTTTAAATAAGGCGCCGAATTTTTAATCGATGTTCAATTGTTGATACTGTTGGAAAGACTGAACATTTTTATTTTTTGATATTGTTTTTTCAATTAAAATAATATTTACTGCTTTTATACAGGATAAACAGCATTATTACGCATGATTGCTACCAAGCTTTAATTAATATCAGTTTTGATAGAACACAGCACTCAGTATTATCTAAAATTTTGACTTCGTCGTGCATCTAAAGGAGAGCAGCAAGAAATATCTGCTCATGTATTTAAAATACGATTCGACCTTTATATCTAAAAACTCAAACTTATAAGCTCATTCTCACAGTGCAATTATGCGACTTTAACTGAAAAATGCAGATGTATTTGGAGAACGTTTATCATTAGAACATGTAGACATTTTCAAAAGTCAAATATGATAAACAAGTTGTATTTAAATTACCAAACATTAGAATTGCAATCGTATTTATAATTACACTGTTGTACGATTAATATTTAATAAATGAGCTTCTTGGGATGAATAAATTGATTACTCTAATCATAATTTTTACAACAAATCAATAAAAAACTAAACCTAAAATTTACATTTGATTTTAAATGCTGTATGATTTACAATATTTTCAACAGCAACGCTAAATTCCGTTGAAGTTTGTGTAATCAGAAGACTGAACAAGGAATACCAATGAAGCAGCTGTTTAATGTAATTTTATTGAAAATACTTATCTTTTTTCTTGTGCTAACAGTTCCAAGGCTACTTACTTTTTGTTGAAAAAAAAAACATTCTCTGTTCAGATATGTGTATATATATATCGAGACTCTTACAACTGCTCGGTGGCGTGGCTGACGGTAACCTGACGGTGCTGCGCAAGAACACGGGAAAGTCCTTTTTTTGAACCAAAGATAAAAGTCAATGGCTTATGATCAGTTTCTAAAATAAATTTCCTCCCGTACACAAATTGATGAAATGATTTGACCCCAAATACCAGTGCCAGAGCCTCACGATCCAGTTGGGAGTAATTTTTTTCCGCACGTGACAAAACCTTAGACGCGAACGCAATCGGTTTTTCGCTTCCGTCATTAAATACATGCGAAAGGACTGCTTCCAGTCCCCTCGGAGACGCATCACACGTAATTTTCACAGGCAGTTTGGGATTATCATGTGTTAGAACCTCAGGCGATGTGATCGCTCTTTTTGCATCTAAGAAAGATTTTTCACGTTCACCTGTCCAAACCCAATCAGTTTCCTTTCGCAAAAGTTTATACAATAGGGCTGCAAGGTCAGCATAATTTTTAATAAGTTTGGTGTAATGGCTAACCATACCTAAAAAAGATTTTAATTCAGGCACCTCCTCTGGCCTTTTCATTTTTGTAATCGCATCGGGTTTAACACTACTAGTTCTAATACCTTCTGCGTCCAACTCAAGCCCCAATAATGTAATTTTGTCTTTAGAAATAGAACATTTATTTTTCTGTAACGTTAAATTACATTCTTGCAATCTTTTCAACACTTCCCGTAGGCTTTTATCATGTTCAGTTTTAGTTGGACCAGAGATAAAAATGTCATCAAAATAAGATACTACTCCTTTGATATCGTGTAGAAGAGTTTCAATTTCACGCTATAATAAACCAGGAGCAGATGCAACTCCGTACATTAACCGGTTACAGGCGTAAAGACCCTCATGTGTTGACAAAACAAGCAACTGTTTGGATTCATTATCGACTAACACTTGTTGATATGCTTGATTCATATCAAGTTTACTAAAAATTTTTCCCCCAGCCAGCTTAGTGCTCAAGTCACTTAATCGAGGTATGGGGTGTCGATGAATTTCCAAACACGGGTTAACGGTTACTTTAAAGTCACCACACAAGCGAATCTCGCCGTTAGCCTTAAGCACCGGGACCAATGGCGTTGCCCACTGACTCGATTTAACTGGCTCTAGAATTTCTGCCTTTTCCAGACGATTAATTTCCTGCTCAATTTTGTCGCGCAAGGCATACGGTATAGGTCTCGGCTTTTTGAACACTGGCATTGTTCCTTCTTTAAGTTGCAAGCTAAATTTACGCTTATTATAACAACC